TCACCGGAGGAGATTGCTAACAATCAAGATAGGGCTTGAGAACGCACCTTGAGCTTGTTCTGTAGCAGGTCCTTTTTGTTGGGCAGTTTGCCGTAGAGGCGGAACAGCTTGGCTTCTTCGGCGGACATTTTCTGCCGTCCTTGCGTCAGTATACATGGTTGTTGGCCGTGAAGATTGCGTGTCTGGCAGAGGAGAGGCTGACGTACGTTGATGTCCACCTTGTTCTGCTGGTGGGGGTTCATGATGGCGGTTGCCTGGGGTGGTTCTGTCACCGTGGTTGTGTTGGAGTGAGGTTGGAGTGAGGTTGAAGTGAGGTTGAAGTGAGGTTGAAGTGAGGTTGAAGTGAGGTTGGAGTGAGGTTGAAGTGAGGTTGAAGTGAGGTTGAAGTGAGGTTGGCGGGGAGGATGGAGGGAAACTGGGGTTCTCGTGGAGGAGGTGGTGAAGCCGGGGGCGGGGGTGTGTTGATGTGTCTTTGTTTCTGGGAGGGAGAGGGGAGGGAGAGGGGAGGGAGTGGCAGGGGGAGAGTACTTGTAGGGGTGGCAGAAGTAAAAAAAAAAAAGGTTGGCTGTCGTTGGCAGGCGCAGAGACCACTTTGGGCAGGAAGGGTGCAGGGGCAGGGTCAATCAAACGGTAGACGATCGACTGGGCGTTGCTTTGGGTTGAGAAGCGTGGATTGGGTGTTGGAGGGATTGGGAGGGAGGACGGACAGGGCAAAGGCGGGGGGAAGCTCGGGCGCGGTGGGGACGAGGACCGGTCCCCGTCGTATTATATACCTGTAGTTTTGTTTTTGCTTGGTGCCTGAAGACAAGACGGTAGAGATTGGGGAGTACAGGAAACTAGGACTGCCATGTACCATGAAGCTGCTGCTGCTGCTGCTGCTGCTGCTGTCCACGGGTTGTACCATACAGTCACCCGTGCAGCGATGCTGGTGGTGCGTGTTTCTTCTTGCAACGAAACGCGATCCTTGATTGGGGGGAAGAGAGAGCGGGGGGAGCGTGTCGAGAGGCTGCCCCTATCCTATCTGGGACGGGTATGGTATGCGATAAGCCTGGATCGCCCGAGGCAGAGAGCGTGGACAGAGTGGGAGAGAAGCAGGGCATCTATGTGTGTCTGCATGGGTGTCTTTCATCGTTCGTAGCAGAGCCGTCGTGCAAATATCCATTGCAGATGCAGAAGCTGGCCAATGTCTCTAGAGTACTAGAGTATGCTGCACACTCTTGGCTTGGTAGAGTAGTCGGTGTTGGGACGAAGTCCATGGGGCAACACGCCGACAGCTACCGTAAGGAGGGGTAGACGGCAGATGCAGCAGCAGCAAACATGCGTCTACCCAGATACTTACAATCACTACTCTTACCATCATTACACACACCCACATACATACTCTTAGATGACTACCCTACCTCACTCTCGAGGGCCTCTCAAGCTGCCAAGTCCAAATAGATAACTGTAGGCTACTAGACTAGAGAATCGCTGCAGCATACAAAGCATTCACCCCCCGGGTACTCTAGTTCTAGTACTCTCCCCCTCCCCCCCCCCTCGCATCGCATCGCTCGAAGCTGCTTGCGGCCAACTCTTCATAATGACGAAATGGGTTCCCCCTTCCCCCAACATCCTTCCGATCGGATATCCCTGCTCTCTCACCCTTGACGTGCTGCTACTGATGGCTAGGTTGGATAGGCTGGGCTGGGTACGTACTATACTGGTAGCCTGGGCACACACACACACACACACACACACACACACACACACATATTACACACACACACACACACACACACACACACACACACACACACACATATCACACACGCAATTGGCTGTCCAAAGCTCGATTTTTTCGGCCCGCTCTCAAAACGCTCTGGCGCACAGCTCTCCCGCAACCACACGCTTGCGTCTACCGAGTGGCTCACTGCAGCCTTCAACGAGGTCGCACCTAGACGTGCAAGAAAAGCAGCTTCAGATCACGAGTTCGTCAAAGAACACACTTCTGCCAACCCCAACCCGCCTTTGATTCGTCGCAGCCCCAGATCCCCCTTTGACACCAACCAGCAACCACACACCATCGGCAGCGCCTTCCCTTTCCAATTACATCGAGGAGAAGAAAGCACCACCCAAAAAAAAAATTAAAAAAAATTCAAAGATTGAAAAAAAAATCATGGCTGGCGCTGGTAAGACATTTGTGGTGGAGCATCTCGATCCTGAACTCGAAGCCTGGTCCTCGTTGGAATACTCGACCATTGCTGCAGAGTCTCATGCTGCAGGCGCCCAATTTCTTCTGTCCTCGGTTCCTGCCTCTTTGAAGTTGCCAGCCAATCTCCAGGCTATCCAAGGCTTGACAGTCGAGACAAGAGGGATTGAAGAGATGTACGCCCACAAGAAAGACAAAGTATGCCTGCTCGACCCCGCTGCCTCCAAGGACCTGAGCCCAGAGGATGGTGACGAGTTTGATATTTTCCTCTTCGGTGGCATTCTAGGTGGGCTTCTTCTCAGCTGTACACCAATTTCTTGTTTCCATACTGACTTTGGCAGGCGATGACCCACCTAGAGGTATGTGCTGTCCCCTTGTAACGAAGCACCTCCTTCCAGATGACTAACAGGGTTAACTTACCCCCGAAGACCGAACCTCAGAGCTGCGCAAAAAGGGTTACCATGGCCGTCGCCTGGGACCTGTACAGATGACAACCGACACGGCTGTCCGTGTAACCAGAATCGTCGTCCAAGACCGGGGTAGGTCAAACAGACCGACAGGCGGCTGAGAGGCTAACAAGACGCAGTGCCCGTTGACAAGATTCCGTATATTGACAACCCCGACCTCAAGATCAACAAGAATGAGAGCACGCAGATGCCCTTTCGCTATGTACGGGGTGACAATGGCCAGCCGATCATGCCCAAGGTAAGGCACCGCTCGCACACGCCATCATGTTCCAGCACAAGGTGGTCACTTACTCTTCGCTGCAGGGCATGGTCGATCTCATCATCAAAGACTCAGAGAAGAGCCTCGACGACCTTTTGTAAGCTGGGTGCCCGCTTCCTCTGAGGCGCACTCACACGCCCAAAACCAGCGACTTTTGTCGAGAAACCCCTGCGCCACTGTGGCACGCAGTCTTCAACGCTGCCCTAGAGGTGCCCATTGCGGAAAGGCAAATGACATGCTGCATGTTGGCTTGGTTGTGGTACTGGACGGGATAGGAGGTCTTGGTTAGGTGTTGAGCGAAACGGACCGACTCAGGAACCTGTGTACGTCGTGTAAGAAAGGCGCAGTCTAGAGACGACGTCCAAGTCTATGTTTCCACAGCCTCAGATGGCTCCATTCCCGCTTGACTTGCCTTTCCAGCCTCGTTATTCCTGTCTGTTGGCACCAGAGATTCCCGATGCGAAGAGCTCCTTACGGGAATAACCATGCAGACGGCGTGACACGGAAGCAGCTGGGTGGCGGTAGACAGAGGACGCGTGGTATGCACGTCCTCCAACGCCGCATTCCCCGCAAGCTCGAAGCCTGAGGATGCGAGTGATGCCTACTCCCGTCATGGCCCAAACGCTTCAACAGTCTCAGATCCCAAGGCGAGATGCTATTGTGGATCGCAGGAGGTGACTTCGAGACGCGCGGAGAAGGATGCAGCCGGAATGGGCGCTACCGGTAACAGACGCTAGGGCTCAGGATTAAGATCGTTCCCGCCTTTCGCATCTAGATCTTGGCGTGGTATTGCACAAAGCCATGAACCCTACTTACTTTTGCATGTTCATTGGGTGGTTTTTATCTTATTTTTCCTGTCCTGTGTAATTCACATTCTTTCTCAAGACCAACCTCTCGTCCCAGTCAACTGCCCCCTCTTGTGGCACGCTCGTGTGTCTTGTCGATATTAACTTACCACTAACACAGTTCCCGGCCAGCGATCCCTGACCGAGCCTCGTCAGCAGCGGCCACCTATTCCAATCCAAACTTTGATATCCGCGGCGCCATTTCATCCATCAATATAACACCGCGTCCCTTGAAATAGCCACCACGCCTATTTTGCCCACTTCACCACCATCGTCTGGATCGCTGATGCGATAGCGACAGCGACAGCGCTTCTTCACCCCTCTCCCTTGGTGTGACGATTCGATACGCGGCCACCATGGCCTCGACATATTCTACGCCGCGGTGGCGGACGGCGCTCCTAGGCGGCTTCCTGACGACGTTACCGTGGCTTTCCAGCGGCATGGCGGGAAAGACGCAGGCTGACTACTTCATCAAAAGCCTTCCCGGCGCGCCCGAGCCCTTGTTGAAGATGCATGCAGGGTCAGTCAGGGTCCAGAGGCTGCCAGTGCGTGCGACGGGACTAACACGGCCAACAGACACATTGAAGTCGACGCAGAGCATAACGGCAACCTCTTCTTCTGGCACTACGAGAATCGTCACATTGCCGACCGCCAGCGGACCGTGCTTTGGCTGAATGGCGGGCCGGGCTGCTCGTCCATGGACGGCGCGTTGATGGAGGTTGGGCCGTACAGGGTGCAGGCGGATGGAAATCTACATTACAACAACGGCTCGTGGGATGAGTTTGCGAATTTACTATTCGTCGACCAGCCAGTGGGAACAGGCTTCAGCTATGTCAACACCGACAGCTATCTCACCGAGCTCGACCAAATGGCCAACCACATGGTCATCTTCCTGGAAAAGTGGTTTGGTCTGTTCCCAGAGTACGAACACGACGATGTGAGTAGGCTGAGATTCTATTTGTCTTGCACGCTGAGGCTGACGACAAACTAGTTGTATATTGCGGGTGAATCGTACGCTGGACAACACATTCCATATATTGCCCGCGCAATCGTAAAGCGGAACAAGGAGCAAGGCAAGACCCCATGGGCACTCAAGGGCTTGCTCATTGGAAATGGCTGGATCTCGCCCGTCGACCAATACCTTTCTTACATCCCTTATGCCTACCAAAATGGCCTCATGAAGGCAGACTCGGACATGGCGAAACGCGTTGAAAACCAACAGAGAATCTGCATCAAAAAGCTCGAAGACGGTGGCATGGACGCGGTCGACACCAATGACTGCGAACAAATCATGGTCAACATTCTCGAGGAGACCAAGGACAGAAAAGCCGACCGCATGAACCAGTGCGTGAACATGTACGACATTCGCCTGCGAGACGACGCGTCCTGCGGAATGAACTGGCCCCCGGATCTTGCGTCGGTCACCCCCTATCTACGCCGTCCGGATGTCATTCAAGCACTTCACATCAACCCAGATAAGAAGACAGGCTGGCAGGAGTGCAATGGAGCTGTCTCTGGACACTTCCGCGCGAAAAAGAGTGAACCCTCTGTCAGATTTCTGCCTGAGCTCATCCCAGAAGTCCCCACTCTGCTCTTCTCCGGGGACAAGGATTTCATCTGCAATCACATTGGCACAGAAGAAATGATCAAGAACATGCAGTGGAGCGGTGGAAAGGGCTTCGAAGTCACCCCGGGTGTCTGGGCGCCCAAGCAAGATTGGACGTTTGAGGGAGAAGCGGCAGGATCATGGCAGGAGGCGCGGAACCTCACGTATGTGGTCTTCTACAACTCCAGCCACATGGTTCCATTCGATTATCCAAGACGTACACGCGACATGCTGGATCGCTTCATGGGCGTTGATATCGAGCAGATTGGCGGCGTTCCCTCTGACAGCCGCATCGATGGCGAGAAGGGCCCCCTGACCAGCGTGGGCGACCACCCAAATTCTACAAGGGCCGAGGAGGACAAGGCTACCGATGTCAAGCAAGCCGAATGGAAGGCCTACTACCGCTCCGGCCAGGTCGCTCTCGTCGTTGTCGTCATCGTCGCCGCCCTGTGGGGTATCTTCCTCTGGCGCAGTCGTCGTCGCCACACCAAGACGGCCTACCAAGGTGACGACGGCGACGAGGGCCGCGAATCCCTCCTCACCGGCATGGGTCTCGACAACTTCCGGCGCAAAGAGCGCAGGTCCGACTTAGAAGCCGCCGACTTTGACGAGCGCGAGCTCGACGATTTAGACGGCGCGTCCAAGAAGCCGGGAAACGGCTACGCGAGCCTGGGCTCCGAGAAGGAGAGACAGTCGCACAACGACTCGACGTTTTCGCTTGGCGGCGACAGCGATGATGAGGCAGGGTCGAGTGATGGGCCGAAGAGGAAGGGGGGCTCGTCGTGAACCTTGGAAACGGATGTTTTTTCTTTTAGAGCGCTTTGTATCATACACATGGGAAAGAATACGGTGTTGTCCATAGATGTGAACATGAAGGCAAGGGCAAGGGCGGGGGCATGACAAAACAAGGCAAGGCATTAGCAGTGTCGTTTGGACTTGTACACAATATTCATCTATCTATCTATCTATTTATCTACATCTATTCTCACGAACAATTCAGCAATATGCAGCCTACATGCTCTACCGGTACACCACGCATTCGCAAACACACCAACACCACCCCTTGACTTTTCCTGCTCTTCCCAGTCCGACACCCCCCCCGATAGCGTTAGTTTTCACTAGTGCCGTCATCGATGGTTGTTTTGCTCGACCCGGTCTACCTTTGCAATGTGCTAGCTTAGGCTACTTAGTAGGTGGCACAGTCGCGGTGGCCTGCATCACGTGAATGCGGGACTAGCGCGTTCTTCGCCGGGCGCGTCACCAGGCGTCTAGTCCACCTACCTCTTGGCCTGGCCCGAGGCGGACACTCTACTCTACTCTACTCGATGGGAATACTGTATTGAGGGAGTTTGAACATGCCTGCGTAAGTCCCTAGGTTTTGAAAGCTGATATCGCTCGGCTCTGCAGCGCGTCGAGAGCCCGTCTGTGGTCCCTTCTCACTAACAGGAACCCCATTGCAGGCCAGGCGACCAATACGTAGGCGGCCACGTCAAGAACCCGTTTGAAGAACGCGTCGTCAGCGGCTTCACGGCGAGCGAAATCGCAACTCTACAGAGCAGACTGAATAAGCAACTCGGGCCCGAGTACATCTCCCAGCGACCGGGCAATGGCGGCGGCAAGGTGGCGTATCTCGAGGGGAACAAGGCTATCGCCCTGGCCAACGAGGTGTTTGGCTTCAATGGCTGGTCGAGCTCGTTGGGCCAGGTGCAGATTGATTATGTGAGGCCGGTCTGGATTTGGTTGGAGTTGTGGGCAGAGTGTGCTAATGGGTGTAGGTGGATGAGCTTCAGAATGGAAAGGTTAGTTTGGGGTTGTCGATTGTTGTGAGGATTACGCTGAAGGATGGGACGTATCATGAGGTAAATCCAAGTTGTTTTTGAGGTGTTTTGTGTTGCTGACAGCCGCATAGGATATTGGCTACGGCTCGATAGAGAACGGCAAAGGCAAGGCGGCATCCTTTGAAAAGGCAAAGAAAGAGGCGGCTACAGACGGACTCAAGCGAGCGCTGCGTACCTTTGGCAACGTGCTTGGAAACTGTCTATATGACAAGCAATACCTCAAGAAGGTTCAGTCGATGAACGTCAAGCCCATCAAGTTTCAAGAAGACAACTTGTACCGGCATACGGACTTTGCCCCACCACCACCTGCTGCTGCGCCAGAAGATCAAGCATTGGTCAAACGCGAGCCGGAAAAGTCACCTGTACGGCCGAATCAAGTCTTGAGGACGCGGACCGACCACCTGAATGAATCATTCTCGGCCGACTTTGATGATGAGACGGATGAGAATTTGTTTGACGGCGTGGATGTTGCACAGGAGAACGAAGGAAAGGCTTCGTTTGAGTCTACATCGGCAACAGAATCTGCAGTGCCCAAGGCTATTGCCGCAGCCAGACCGAATGGTACATCTTCGGCTCGTACCTCACCTACACGTAACACTGGACCTCCTCGCCAGCCTCCACAACGACCGCCGATGGCCCAAGCAGGGAGAGGTCAAGCACCACCACAACATCATCAAAATTCAGGGCCGAGACGGCCAGCTCAGCCCATGCAGAATCAACGGCAACCGCAGACTCCTGGTCAACAGAACCCACATCGGCCTGCTCAGGGACGTGGCCAAATGCCTCCACCTGCAGGCGAGAATGCAGTTCCTCCCAGAGTACCAGTCCAACAAAGCAATGCCCAACATCCACCTCAAAACCAACCTCTCCGACCCACCCCTCCTCAGGCACAACAAGGGACGAATCAAAATCGGCCAGCACCACCTGCGCAAGGCCCCAACACCCCCGTAGCGAACTCGACAAACAACACCGCCCGGCCCCCCGTAGGCTTCGCAACCGCCCGCGCCGCCGAACTCATTCAAAAATCCGAGACAACACCCGCACACGTCCACGCCTTCAATCCAAAAGTCGAATCCCCAATCCCAAAGGACAAACGCACCCCCGGCGTCGATTCCAACCGCAGCGCCCCCATCAAGCGTGAAGCCGTTGGCGTAGCACCTGCGCCTGCACCTCCTCCCGGCCCCCCTGCCGCTTCCAGCAGTGCACGCCCCGGTCCTGGGAATGCCAGTGCCAACGGGAGTGGCCCCGGCCCCGTCACCACCTTCCAGCGCGCCAACGCCAATATAGTCAACCCCCATCTCGACGCCAACCGTCGCATCGGCGCTCCCAGCTACGCAGTCAGTCCCAGCGCGCATCGCGGCGCCTACAAACCCCCTAGTTTTTCCTCGCATCTTGCTCCCCTTCCTCTTCCTCCTCCTCCTACTTCTACTTGGGCTCTTGCGGGCGCCAAGAGACCTGCGCTGCAGGACGTTAGTAATCAGACTGCGCGTGGGCAGGCTGGGGTGGCTGGGGCGGTGGCTGAGGGGCCGGAGGTTAAGAGGAGGCGTGTTGAGGGGGAGGGGGAGGGGGAGAATGGGACAGATGGGGTGGCTGTTTAGGGAGATGGATGGGGAAAGTAGAAAGGGAGAGGGAATGCATGGTCTTATGGTTAGCGATGATGTCTGTTACTTTTTCTTTTGGACGGGGGTTAGGGAGGGCTTTGTTTGGTGTGTGGGTGTTTGGTGTCTTTTTCACCTTTTTTTTTCCCCTTTTCTTCGGGTTTTCATGTTGAAGATGGGTTCGTTGGTAGGGCATGAGGTGGTAGATGCTATGCCATGCGAAGATGTGCTATCCTGCCACCCTATGCTATGCCCACTTCCCCCCAAACCTTCCTCCAGACCTTCCTCCAGACCTTCCTCCAGACCTTCCTCCAGACCTCCCGACCCTCCTCTTCGCCTACCAACGGCAATCATGCAGAAAACAAACAGCGCTGGGTATTTCTGACGCGAAGATGCGGCAATCTTGGACATGGGATACACCAGGCCCCCAGCAGACGAGAAGAAATTAAAATCCATCAAAGCAGTCGAGGACCGGTACATGTCCGAGCTTGTCCTTGGAAAATATTTGGAAAATATTTTTGCTACCTTGTTACACTCTTGTAAACTACCCACCCCCATCCCCCCCTTTTCCTTGAATAATGTATCCGTCCTATCCTATCCTATCCTATCCTATCCTATCCTATCCTATCCCACACGCACAATACATACGGTGACAATGCAATGCAATGCAATGCAATGCCGATTTTTCTCTCTGCTAAGCACGATGTTCACGTGCTTGTGTTTGTGTTTGTGCTCGTGCTTGTGCTTGTGCTTGTGCTTGTGCATGTGTCTGCAACCCCCTACATCTCGAACAGCGCGTCGAGTTAGTACCACGCTCAAGGCTTCTCATCTCGATGCTGTTGAAATCTGGGATTTCTGGAATCTCTGGGCTCTTTTGCTGCGCTGACATGACTCGCGATCATGGTACCGTGTTGGTGCTGTGCGCAGGGTAGGTACCTAATGTACCGGTACCCTGAGGCAGTGTACCCTGAGGCAATGTACCCCGAGGCAATGTACCCCGAGGCACCCGATGTTTTTTTTAAAAAAATAATTCAAATACAAAGCACCTGGCTCCAAAGAGCGTGACGGTTTGAAAGACTGGTTTGTGCTTGGGATGATGGCATGGGTTGCGTGGGGTGAGAGTGGGATGGGTGTTATATGTGTGGGATTTCGGGAGTGTTGGGTTGGGATTGGGGGGTTGGGAGGTAGTGTGTCTGGCTGTGTGTTTTTCTGTGTTTGTGTGTGTGTGTGTGTGGGCCAGGAGCACGGTTTACGTTGTGCTATGCTGGAGCGCATGTTCTCTGCTCATGCGTACCCGCCTTGTTCCTACGTGAACCCTCCCTAGTCACTTCCTTCCTACCCACCCTCACCCACCCTTCCTTCTCACCCTCACCCACCCTTCCTACCCACCCTCACCCACCCTTCCTTCTCACCCTCACCCACCCTTCCTACCCACCCACCATCACTCACCCCAGCCAACCTACCTCTTCTTCCCCCCCGGCCTCGGCTTACACTCATCCCCAATAATAGGATGCAACTTGATCTTGATCGGATACGCCGCATTATTCCCCGCATACCCCTTGCTCCAATCATAACTAACCGCATACGCAAAGATATTGCCGTCGCGGGAAAACGCAGTGGCGGTGATGGAGCCGCCGACCTCGGGGTAGCCCTTGAGCCGGTGTTTGGCGTCCTTGTCCCAAAAGTGAAAGGTGCCGTCTGAGCCGGCGGTGCTGAAGGTGCCGTGGATCGGGTGGAAGGCAATGGAGTTTACCGAGAAGACTTTGGCTATGTCGCGTTGGGTTGGGTCGGCTTGGCGGTGGCATTTGAAGGAGAAGTTTAGGCTGGGTGGTGGGGGGGGGAAGGGGTTAGTTTGGGTGGGGAGGAATGAGGGTCTGTCGGGGGAGACGTACCTTGTGTCTTTTTCCTCGACGTATTGGATTGCGCAGCGTCCTTCGATGGAGCCGACGGCGAAGCCACTGGCGTCTGAGAAGCAGCTTACGACGCGCGTCTGCCATTTCAGCGGGCTGGTGATGGTCTTGTAAATCGTCGTCGGGTTGCTGAGGTTGACCATGTGGATGTGGCGTTCGGCCGTCGCGATGACGAGCAGCTGGTCCTTGATATCCATGCTGTAGACACGCTCTGTCGCGTTGAGCGTGCCTACTGGCTCCGCGCCCTGCAGATCCCAAAATTTGACCGTCTTGTCCCATGACCCGGTGGCGACGTAGTCTTTGCCGCCGGTTTGGAACCAGCGTACGGATTTGATGGCTTCGGCGTGCGCTTTGGCTTGTTGGGCTTGGATTTGCCCACTTGCGGGCGCGGTGCGGAAATCGACAATGTTGAGCATTCCCGTGGAGTCGCCGGCTGCGAGGCGTGCGCCGTCCTGGGGTGTGTTTGTTAGTACATCTGTCTTCTGTCCAGACCGCACATGTAGTGATCTGGGGAACCTTCGCAACTCACCTTTGACCATCCTAGGCCGAGAACGTAGCCTTGACACTCAAATACCCATTTTCCCTGCGCGCCCTGTTGGTTGATTTCATAGACGTACACTTTCTTGTCCCAGCTGCCGACGGCGAGGAAATCGGCGGTGGGCGAGAATGCGAGGTCTGAGATGCTGTCGCTGGGCAGTTGGTCGCGGGCTACTTCGACATCTTTGCTGGTGTCGCCCGTGGTCGAGCTTGACGCTGCTGTCGCGCTCGCTTGGCCAAATAGCGCCATTGTGTATGTGTGTGTGATGTTATTTCCTCCTCTTGACCGTGGCGTTTGGCGTCGTTGTCGCCGATTTGTTGGAGCTCCACTCTGCGGCGTGCTTTGTTTGTGAAGCGGCCGAAAAGTGGTGAGGAGAGGGTCAATACGCGCTCGAATGGCAGTGATGAGAATGAAGGATAGCCTTCTGCGTGTTGTAAGAAGGATCGAGCAGTTATGCGACCAGTCCTTCACCTTTAATGCTTCACCTCTTTCGACGCGCCTGTAAAGCAAACCCACGGCCGACTAACTGTTAGTTAGGTAGACGTCCAAGCTTTCCAGGCACCCTTGCAGGCACCATCCCCATCCCAGCCTAGTGTTGCCTAAACCACCCACCGGCCAAACCATGCTCCGTCTCCCGAAGTTCATAGGTAGAAAAGTTTCACAGCCAGCCACCTCCCCCCTTCTCCAACGTTCCCCGCTCAAAGAATCGCAACGAAGCACACACACAGAGCGCATGCCCTCCCTCGGGAGCTGCGTCTCCTCGTCGTTCCAAGAACAGCTTTGGGAGAAAGTCCCCGGACATCCGGTTCTTCGCAATCGGCATTTTCAGCAACGAACCGCCATAGAAGCGCGGCTTCCATTACCGCTTACGATGCTCTTCACCGTCTTTGCGCCGCCTGTACTCTTGTGCTGCGCTTCGCCGATGCTGTGGGTCGAGGGGACTGGCACCTGGACGATGATATGAGTCCGCTGGTTTCCATGGCCTGCATGCGGAGGTGTTGTTTTGGTTCTGGAGGAGGACGGAGATTGTCGTGGATGGTGTCAGGTATGGGAGGTCTTTTCGTCCAGTTTATGGTTATGCGATTGCCCTGTTTGCGCTCTGTTATGGGGTGTAAAGGGGGTAACTCAATGGGGCTTATTCTTGATGCGAGGAACGTTCACTTCAAACACCATTTTTCGGATCTGATGGGTAGGCATACTTGGGTACCTTGCCATTCGTGGTTGGGCACACCGTGTATGGGCTATTCGTGTGCGGTCGAACGCGCCAGATTCATATATACCCGTCGGATGGTTCACATGATGATCAACACAGAAATAGAGTCAAGCACTGAGGCCGTCTGAATCCCAAAGTGGTAGGATAGCCGCTGCTGAATTTTCTACAATTCTATCTGATTGAACCTGGTGGCTTGGACAGTTTTACTCTCATTCCAATACCAAAATGCATTCGTCGTCGATGTTTCTTTGGTGTCATGGTATCGTCTTCATGTGTTCTTGCACCTGATTTTATAAACTTTTCTTCAAGTGTGCCTCTTTGACTCTTTGATTAAGCTTCATCTCCAAGGACAAACTTCTTGACCTCCTCATATGCCTTGTCCAGATCATCGTTGACCACAATCTTGTCATGCGGTGCCTCTCCACTGTGCGCAAATTCCATCTCCACCCTCGCCTGGTTCAGTCTCTTGACAATGGCCTCCTCCTTGTCCGTCGCCCGGCTCCGCAACCTCTTCTCCAGGACCTCCATCGATGGCGGCGACAAGAACAAGAACCGTGGGCGGGGGAAGGTGGGGTGGTTCGCAACCTGTTTAACGCCCTGCAGTGACCACAATCAGTCTCCGTCTCCCATTGCCAGACAGCCACAGGGAGTAGCAATAGCAGAATTGAACACAGCAAGCCAATAAAAGATAATCCCAAAACATACCTCCATCTCAATGTCCAGAATACACACCCGCCCCTTCTCCGCAATATCATTCACCGCCTGAATACTCGTCCCATAGCAATTCCCCCCAAACTGCGCATGCTCCACAAACCCCTTCTTGTCCACCAGCTGCTGGAATTCCTCTTTTGTCACAAAGTAGTACTCCACGCCATTCTTCTCCGTGCCCCGCGGTGCGCGCGTCGTGTGCGAGATGCTGAAGCCGAATTTGTCGGGATACTCAGCGAAGAGGCGGGACAGGATTGTGGATTTCCCGGCGCCGCTGGGGCCGGAGATTACGATGGGGGTGTGTTTTTGGAGGGCGGCGGAGGTGGAGGAGGGGGTGGCCATTTTGGAGAGCGTGATGGTGGTGATGTTGCGGGTGGGGACTTGGGAGAATGTGGTGGGTGTGAGGCGGGGGGGAGGTTGCAAGGTGCGGAATGTGTGAGAACAGTGAGATTGCGGGGTAAGCAGCTGTGTGTGTATGGCACGGAGATGGGGTTGCTTGAGAGCCTGCGAAATACACGAGGTGCTTCTCGCAATTATCAATGGCATCGAGGGGTTGAATGGTTGGTTTGCGATGCAATGTGATTGGCGGTCACAAGTAAAGGGTCTCTCTCGAGTACCAGGTGGAATGGCGGGGCTCAAAGTGGGATGGCGGAACGGCGTGACATCGCGTTTGGAGATGCGCGTGTATCCTGACCTCATCGAGCTTGGGACTCTCCAAACTTCCCCACATTCAAAGAATTGAGCGGTTTTCACACATGATATTGTAGCTTCAACACGTCTCTTCCACCCCCCTCTTGACCAGCAGCTTCACCGCTTCCAACACACCCACACATCATGGCAAGTCACACACATTCACAGTTACAGGTATGATGTCAGACTAACACAACAAAAAAGTCCAAACAATACCTCACCCTTCACACCGTCGACGCCGCTCACCCCAACGCAAGCGACATCTTCGCCCTAGCGCCCACCCCAACTCAACTCCTCTCGGCCTCTGGCTCAAGCACAATCAACATCTACGACACCACCAATCCCGAGTTCCCCGTCGTGCAAAAACTAGAAAATGCACATCCACTGGGCATACACCACCTGGTTACTGCGCGGGAGGCAAGGCGCGCTGCAAGTGCAGGGTTCGAGGGCAAAGTCAAGATATGGAGTCAGAATGAAGAGGGCGTTTGGGGGTTAGACGGAGAGATTGTTGGTGGGTATGCCTTTGGCTTTCTTTGCGTTGTGTTGAGAAGTTGGTAAAGCGGTTGGATTTCTAACTTCGAGTCAGATCAGAATAAGCCTGGTGAGATCTGGGCGATTGCTCTGAGTGCGGATGGACAATATCTGGCGAGTAGCAGTATAAACGGCAAAATCAATGTTTGGAGTACGAGTAAAGCAGAGGGTATGCCGCGGATACGCGAGTATGAGACGAAAGGTAGCTTTGGGCTCTGCGTCGATCTGGTACGTTTTGTCATTTTCTATCAACACAGCTTCTGGTTGTCAACTTCGTTTACGTTGACCGAGAGTCCTTGAAAGGTATTCTAACAGAAAATTAGAGTCGAAATGGCAGCTTCACAGCATCAGGCCACGAGAACGGATCCATCTACGTCTTCAACAACGAGAGCGGCCGTCTCGTACATTCATTAGCAGGCCTCGTTCACCCTGTCCGTAGCGTCGCATTCTCCCCAGCATCGTCGCTATTAGCAGCCGGTGGTGACGCTCGCATAACCGCACTATACGACGTCAAGTCTGGCGAGCAAGTTGCCAACTTCACAGGCCATGGTGGATGGGTACTCACCCTCGACTGGAGTGACACTGGCGAGTATCTATTGTCTGGGTGAATTTATACATCCTTTGCCACTGTACCTGTCATATGACTGACAATGCAATAGATCCCACGACTCAAAAGCCAAGGTCTGGCGCATCGAGACAAGAACCTGTGTGGCCACCCATGCCCATGGCGATAAACCGCTCTGGACGGCCAAGTGGTTGCCCAAAGCGCCAGCCAAGAGCGAAATGTTTGCGCTGGGTGGTGGTAATAATTCCATTAGCTTTTACCGCGAAGCTGCGGGTTGAGTGGCGCGTGATGCTGACACGGCAGTTCATCTGTTCATGGTCGCTGGGATGGACGTGTCATCCTATTCGTGGTATAGATGAAAGATCTAGGTAGTTTATCCTAGATGGCGGCTGTTGCTGACAGTACCAACAAGGAAATTCTAGTATAATGCAAAAATACTATCCCGATTTAGTAAGAAGGAGCACTTGCATCCCCTTTGTGGTATGTACTATCTAGAAATCGCTCGTGAACACTTGATATTAGACATTCATCATTGGCCAACTCATACCAACAATCCCCTCCCTCTTCCACATAATCTCAACAACACGGTCTTGAGGGGGGTTGGTTTGGTTTGGGTAAGATCAATTTCTACAAATCCAATAGCAGCTGGAACTTTACGCACTGCAACGATCTCGGTAATGCCAATGTATCAAGTACAATGTGGGTTTATCGGCTGTTTTTTCCCAATTCAAAGCTCACGCTAGTGAACGAACTAACGTTGCTATGTAGGCGGTTTTGTTCCAAACTTACAAACATCACATTATACACTTCTCTTTTCAATCGTCTCTAATCATCAAATCAAATTGAAATGCCCAAATTCTTAGTGATGACGCAATACTCAGATTGTATCGTAATCAGAGGGGCAAACTAACCAGGAACCCATGTAAATGCAGGGGTTGCGCCGGTTTGACAAAGCCTTCGCAACACCACGGATGTCTAGTCTCAATAACCCACCGTGATTTTGAAACCATGGTAAAAGATGGTTCCGCGCCGCACCTGCTCCTTGTTCATCAACCTGCGCCCGCGTTAGTGCTGGACCACGCTGGCACCGTCATCGCTGTCAACGATGGCAGTCTCCGCCTGATCTCCCCCCTACGTCAGAATGCTGCTCATGTCACAGAAAGCGCCTTGATTGGCAAGAACATTGCTGATATTAGTCTTTTCCCACTCCCTGGAGTTTCCCCCGTTTTCTGGACTTGGAACGACATTTTGGCTGCTGCAGTCGACGCTGGCAAAGTGATTGATGACGCTTGGCAAGAGGATGACAGGCAAACACCTCGAATTGGTACGGTAGAAGCTTACCAAGACAGCGAAAACTTCTGGGATGAGGAAGCTGAACGACAGGCAATCATCGAAACGTATGTTTACGTTCCACGTTATGCTGGCGGTACAGTTGAAGCTACTGCGAAAGATGAGCCAAGCGAACCCAGTGTGATCAGAGCCCGTGCAACTATACGGTGGTATCCGTCCCAGGACAATGGGTCACATCTGATCGTATTGCATCGGACAACCCTGCCGTATGGAACAGCGCCTACATCGCCAGCAGCTGTCAAGGCTGCACAACACAATTTCCAAAACCTTGTGATAACGCCTCCATCATCCACGACCCCCACTGGCCAGCGGTCTTCAAGCCATACGCCTTACTTTGGTCTTGACTTGTCAGAACCTGATACGACGGACATCGCTTCTGCTATCATTCCACATATCGTGGCCACCTTGGATACCGACGGTAAAGCCATCAAACTGTCGAGATCGTGGTATCTTTTTTCTGGAATGACCGAAGAGCAGAGCCTGGGTGACGGGTGGATTTCGGCCATGCACGCAGAGGATGTGACTGAAATGACCAAAGCATGGGCCAATGTGGTCGAACACGGCCTCTCTCACTGGACACACCAAGCCAGGTATAGAAGAGCTGTAGACGGTACATACTGCTGGTTCTTGATCCGCGCGGAGCCTCACAGAGATGGCAGTGGAAAAATACTCCGTTGGTATGCCTCGATGATGGATATTCATGAATGGGTTGTGGCTCGACTCAAGGCAGACATACGACGTCAATCGATCATTACACTTTTCGCACAGACCGATGTGATGCTCTGGGGAATCGACAAATCCAATCAAATGTATATTTGTGAGGGTAGACTCAAATGGGACCCGAACCGTGTTGTGAAACTTATGGAATCCGCGCTTCGCGAGCAACAGGCAAGCCGAGACGATTCAACCGAGAATACAGTCCGCAATGCAGATCAAGAGTTGGTTCATACGATTCAGAGGGTGCTGAAAGGACGTGGATTTAGCCCCGTCGTCGAGCATTGGGAAGATGATCGCTACTTTCGAACTCGCTTTGTCGCTGAGCATGTGCCTCCGGGTATTGACGCAAGTACTACAAGCGAGGACGTGGTGCAAGCTGCCTTAGCACTTACCTTTGATATCACAGAAGAGAAGGCTCGCTCAATACTGCTCACGGAGAACAAACAACTCATCGCGAAGGAGAAGGCTGCTCTTGATGCGAGTAACTTGAAGAGTAGATTTCTTGCCAATGTAAGCTTTGCCTGAACGAACTTGATTCTGTTTACTAACATTGCTAGATGTCGCATGAAATCCGCACTCCAATATCGGGTATCATCGGACTCAGCGAACACCTGTCCGACTGTGGTCTCAACGAAGAACAGCTAGAGTTCAGCAATTCCATTGAAGAAAGCGCAAAGTTTCTTCTCACTCTAGTCAATGACGTCCTGGATTTCAGCAAGATGGAGTCAGGGCACATGGATGTCGAATCGATTCCCTTCTCGCCCCTAAAGATTATCAGCGATACCTTGATTCCGCTGCGGCTCCAGGCCAAGGAACGAGGTCTCGCGCTGACATTTGACTGCAAATTGGAACCAGGCGCAATGTTCCTCGGCGATCCATGGAGACTACGGCAAATCCTCACCAACTTGATTGGAAACAGTCTCAAGTTTACACAGCAAGGCCAAATTGATCTGAGCGTACGGAGTGCTGACTTGAAGGACAGCACGATGGTTCTGCATTTTGCCGTGCACGACACTGGCATGGGCATCACCGAGGAAGTCCTGGATGGTCTCTTCACGCCCTTTAGCCAGGCCGACGGCTCCACAGCCAGACTGTACGGCGGTACGGGTCTTGGCCTTGCAATATGCAAGCAGCTAGTCGAGCTCATGGGAGGCCAAATCTCATTGGCGTCGACCTGGGGACAGGGCACAACCGCAACCTGCAAGATCCCATTCAAAGTCTACCCCGGCTCAAATGACGACCTGATAACCACGGCTACACCAACCGGCCGCCTGAGGTCACAAAATTCAGAAACAGCCGTCGATCCCAAGACATCTCACTTCCAAAGCTCTTCCACCTCCACTTCCAACAACCCCAGCACCAACCCTCCAAACCTCACCCTAAAGAACCACATCCTCCTCGTAGAAGACAACCCAATAAACCGCAAAGTCATCTCCCTCGCCCTCCAAAAACTCGGCTACATCGTCACCGCCGTCTGCGACGGCCAACAAGCCCTCGACTACCTCTGCACCTCGTCGCCACACCCGCCCCCCCACGCCCTCCTCATGGACTGCATGATGCCCAACGTCGACGGCTACCAGGCTACCCGCCGCATTCGCACTGACGAAACCCTGTTTTCCGAGTCGGTGCGCCGGTTGCCGATTATCGCGCTCACGGCGAGTGCGATTAAGGGCGATCGCGAGAAGTGCTTCGAGGCGGGGTTTGATGATTTTTTGACCAAGCCGGCGGCGAGGGATGATTTGAAGAGGACGCTTTTGAGGTGGTTGGGTGGGGGGAGGCGGGGGTGTGGGTGAGGGAGTCGGGATTGGTTGGTTGGTTGGGAGGGTTGATGTTTGATGGTGGTTGAGTGTGGAAGGGGAGGGGGGTTGCGTGGATATGTTGTGATTTGACCATTGGGAATAGAATACCCATGTAATGCGTGCACACTTGAACTGAATAACATACCAATCATGAAATCCCAATCCTTGTAAAAAGCCAGCCAACGCTGCACGGCACCAAACTACAACCCACCACATAAACCCACAAGCACAGCAACAAACCGCAAAATTGCTCGACACCGCTATAACTCGATTGAAAACCCTTGTATTTAATTTTTCGCATGCCGCCTCATCCACGCAAATGGAATACCCAAAATATACAAGGAGAAGAAGAAAGAAAAATATACCACTAAGCACTACCTATCCCAAAGTGAACAACCCACACCTGGATAGCATTCTCCAAAATCCATCATCACACTACAACACCACACCCTCAACGCACACGCACACCAGCCGGATACGACGCAGACCCAGATCCCGACCCCGACTCCGGAGCCGGCGTAGGCATAGGCTTAGCCACAGTCTTGAACCCCTCCTTACCCTGCCCGATACCCCAATCAAACTTCCCATTCGCAAAGTCGCCCCAAGGCTTAGGAGCAGGACGACCACCGGGGCGAGCCCGACCGGGCCAGAAGCCAGTGGGGCGAGGACGGCCCCAACCGACGCCGGGAGCAATGGGTGTGAATTGGCTACCGGGGGCGCCGGTGCCGGTGGGGAAGGGGAAGGCTGGGTAGTCTGGGGTACCGGTACCGGCGGGGAAAGGGGGGTAGTTGTTGTCGATTGGGAAGGGGGGACGGGCGCTGTTCATTGGTGTGTCGGGTTCGTCTTCGCAGTCTTCGTCGGGGGAGGGGGAGGGGGAGGGAGAGGGTTGGGTTGGCGATGGGGTTTGGTCGTTTTCATCGTCGCAGAGTTGGTCGTCGCCGTCGGGGGTGGTGGGGGTGTTGCCTGAAGGGGGTGTGGGCTGGGATGGGAGAGAGGGTCTTGGGGCGGCGGGGTTTTGCCCTCCTATTCCTGGGCCTTTTGTTCCTGGGTTCGCGAGCTCAAAGTCTGGGAGTGGCGACTCTTGGGCGGCGGGTTGGGGGGCAGGTTGGCCGGCTGGGGCAGGCTGGTTAGCTGGGGCGGGTTGGTTGGCCGGAGCAGGAACGTTTTCTGCGGCAGGGACATTTCCTGAGCTTGGGTCATTCGCCTTGGGGGGCATAGAACCAGCGGAAGCAGGAGCCTTGGCGGGGGCAGGAGATTTAGCGGGAGAAGGGGAGCCAGCAGAAGGGGAAGATTTGGCAGGAGCTTCAGGAGTAGAAGGAGTAGAAGAGCCAGCACCGTTGCTCATACAGGCAAAGCTAATCTCCTTGACGGGGGTAGGGTTACGGACGGGACCATCGAGCTTCCAGTCCATGTCAACGTATGGCCAGCAAATGCGTCCATCAGGCATGGTAACCATGTCACCTGCAACGAAAACATTCATAGACTTGAGGGGCTCGCCGACCTTCTTGCCGTCCTTGACGAGCTGGAAGTAGGAGCCGGTAAAGGCACCCATGCAGCCCATGGCATCGTATGGGCAAGTAGGGTTGGCAATCTCTTCCCAGGTGACAAGAGCGCTGGTGCCATCGAAGGTAGCTACGTGGGCGTTTGAGCAGTCGGCAGATCCCTGGGTGATCCAGTTGACTTGGGAGTCACCGTCACCACCGAGCTGAGAAGTAGCCTGCTCACCAACAAGAGTCTTCTTGTCGGAGAAGTTGGCAATGGCGACGTTGCGGTTGACGGTGCGGTTCACCGACTTGGTGTAGCCTTCGCCCATCCAGTCGTTGGTAGTGAGGTCCTTGGCGCCACGAGACACCCAGGTGAAGATGTAAGATTCGCTGTTGATGAAGCGGGCCATTCCACTGTAGGAGCCGCTCATTCCGCCCATGGCCTCGTTTCCAGCACCGTTCTGAACGTGCTCGTTGGAAACCTTGACGCCAGCCTTGCTCATGCCAGTGCCGCCAGTGTTCAGCCAGATGGCGCCTTGGTCCTCGCTGCAGAGACTGGCAAAGGGAACAGAGTCGTGAGCCTCAAAAGCAATACCGGTGTTGTGCGAGCAGCCCCAGCTGGAGCTCGCGCCCTCGATCTTCTTGAGAGCGCCCTTGTTGTCGACATACTGGATGGCATCACCAAAGTGACCCTTGCCAGAGCCCGAGTAGGCAGTGACAACGAAGTAAGCTCCATACATGCCAGCCTCTTCAGAGTAGGCAAGGTCGCCGTTCAAGTCGGGAGATGCCAAAGCACCCATGTCACCAACATTGTCGGGCCCTCCGAGGTATGTCTTGAAGGTTTGCTTACCGCCAGTGTAGCGGTAGAGAACTGGCACTGGGATGTTGTCGGGGGGTGCATTGGCGGTGCCAGAAGGCATGACCTCGTTGGTCAGGAGCGCAAAGCCATCGTTGTGTGCGACCAAACCACCAGCCTCCTTTCCACCTTTGACAGTAACAGTTTCACCAACAGCAGTAAAGGTGGAGGGATCGACTTGCTGAATGTGCACATCGGTACCGGAAGCGTCGAGGTAGGCAAGGTAGGCCGACTTTCCATCTGGGGAGAGAGCACAGGGTGAGCGCGTGTGGTGAGGAAATTGAGTCCAGTACGATTCCTTGACAGGAATAAAGGACGCCGAGAGTTTTAGACTTCCAACATAAGTTTTGAGGTTACTCTCTGAAAGTTGAGCAACAGCGGCGCCTGCAAGCAGGGCCAGAACAAGAGACTTGGGCAACATGTTGCAGTAACTGCTGCAAACGTTTGAAAGAGTGACTGAAAAGAATGAACGACCAGCGAACCAAAGGAGAGGATCAAAGTCAAATGTGCAATACAGAATGAATGTATCTTCCAAAGATCATGAAGCAGTACGGATTGACATCGGCTTTGTCAAAGTCTATATACTGTGCCTGTACCATGAAACATTCCATCTGCGCAGAGGCCACAAGCCTGGACCGGACAAACAAGCCTAACAAAGCTCATCTCGGGGTACTCGTATGGCTGGAATTGCGGGGTGTGAGGCCCACCTGTAGGGCAAATCCACAGACGAGACTGGCTGACCTGTCGTGAGGCACCGAAGGTAAGATGACATTACGATATTAAGGGTGTTTCGGATTGTTTCGTCCAAGGCGGCACTAGCGGGATGTCGCTGGCCAATCACGTGACCAATCCTTCTCGTCCGATCTAGAACATGGACCGTGGTGGACCGTGAGGCGATTATATGAGCATCATCTCCCGTTCCTCAAGGTTTCGGACGGCTTCGTTGCCAGTGGCAAACGTTCCCAGCCGTTCCCAGGCCTGGGGATTTCGCGGCGAAATGCCCAACACGAGTCCAAGGACAACATCATCATGTCTGCCGATACTCATGCACGTTACAGGCGCTCTAAATGGTTGCGGGGTATCGCCAGGTAATGCCCGTCTTACGGTGCATTGTTCCTCGCCCACTGCCGGCTCGACCTTGGCTTCACAGAGGATGCAGTCGTGTAAGATGCTCATCGAACTGGTACCCTGGACGAAGAGCGTGTATTTCCAAGCACCGTCGGCCAGGTCGGAGCTCAAAGTGGCAGAAAATGTGGGACCCCGCAATGTAAGTGATGCGGATGTCACTGAACCAAGGATGTTCAATCCTGACGGGACGATCGAAACCGATCCGGCCACCATGGTAGGGCTGAAAGTTTCAACCTCCGTCTCGTTTAGTGTCGTGTAGCCTATAGGAGTATCGAGACCAGCCCATGACCAAGACGGTGCTCGCCATGCCTCAGGCGCAAAGATGTTGGAGCCAGAGGGCAACCCATGCCACAGAAGATCCAGCGCTAGGTTGCCTCTCCAAAGGCCTGCGAGATAGTCCGAATGCGTCGCTTTCCTGATCTTACTTGCGATACCCGATATAGCGGGCAGCTTGTCGCTCGCGACGGTGAGGTTGCGCGCAGAATACTGCTCAACAATGCGCTGCCATGCTTGCCAGATTGTGTGAGCCTTTTTGCTTGCCACAGCTCTGGGAATGAGTGCCGGGGTGGTCGGGTACGCTTTGCGCTCTGGCATGCACTCGCAACGATAGGAAGTCTTACACTCGAACAGCAATTCCGTCTCCGTGTAGTGTACAATCCTGGTACTGAGTACGTGTTCTTGAAGAGCCCATGCGCGAGATGTGAGCGGCCCCACCGGCTTTGCAGGACCACCAGTGGGAGAGTGACTTGGATGGTGATCTAATACTCTCCTCGCTCGCAGAGCTAGTTCCCTCTTTGTCGTATTCTCATATGGTATCTTCACGGGCCTTCGTCTTTGTGCAAGGCATCTCGTGCCACCGTCCCCTGAATTGGTCGCGGAAATGGTGATGTAGCTATTCTGGTAGATACTGCCCATTCTCGACGACTCGGTTTCCCAATCTCTCACGCTGTCTTGGATGATACACAGTGAGTCGATCCATATATAACGGAGACCTAGCTGTCGGGTGATGACAATCGCATCCTGGAACAAGGGTGGCAGGGTTTCAAACGCAACATTGGTCGCAAGCTTTCGCCAATTGGTCTTTGTCGTCTTGAGCAGAGAGGAGCTGCCCCAACAGTGCGAGAGGGTAGCGTATTGGAAGCTTCTCCCCTGCGTATCTATCAGACGAATTGGTGACGACACGCGGCCAACGTCAAGAAGTCGCTTGGGAGCAGTCGCAGTCGACTCGCGATTCGATCGACATGCGGTGTGCTTGGGATTTGCAAGACAACCTTGTATGCACCGGCGTATAAAGTTGAAAGAATCATCAGAGCCCGAGTCTGTTGGTATGTGGTGGGCTGTACCGAGTGTGGGCCATGGCCTACGAGATGCTGGACATAGTCAGAGTGTGGTGCAGATTCAAGATGGCAAAACGATGACAACTTTGATGTCTAGTGGGATGCCGCAAGTGCCAGTATGATCTGCACATGTCGATATCTTTTTCCAGAAACAACATTCGCAAAGGCCACGAGGTCATGTGAGGGGCAATAGAAACGCACCACCCACCAGAGCCAGCATACATCTCCACAATCTCATTCTTCCAGCGCTCGCCATCCACACTGATTCTCACCGTCCCCTTCTCCCTGATCTCGACATGAACTCTAACCCGAGCGCCCCTCCAACTCTCCGAGAAAGCATCGAGCGCCAAAACCAAGGCTACGCAGAATCTACAACCGCCTTTGCCAACATCTTTCGTCCTGGCCAAACGCAAAGCATCGACAACGAGATTCAGACTCGCACGCGGCTCTCTTCTAGCCTCGGTTTCATACACCGAACCCCGATGGTTCCGCGGGTCCAGGTTATTGCACGTGCTGCATCGCTTACGCTGCGACGTCGATGTTGACGAGGACGTGCTGCGTGTACCTGTACCTGTACCGGTACCGGTCGGGCGTCGCAATGATTTTGGCAGCGGCATTGCAATGTCAGAAAACACGGACAATGGAGTGTTGGGACGCGGGTCAATGCATATCGAGGATATGCGAGGTGAGATGTTGAAACATGAGATCGGAATCAGGGTGACCGAAGGCCAGGGATATGGCAGCGACCCGTTGCGCTAACTTGCCCAAGAGTGTCGGTCCTTCGACTAGTGTGCTGCTTAATGTGAAACCAGAGGCGCAGATCACTCACCACGGGCTCATACTCTCTTACCTGAGAGTCATCGATTGCGAACGCAAATCACCGTGTCACGGGTTATTCGTGACGTTATTGGGAGATGCCGTTCACTACAAAGTACCGGTTCGATATACCATATGTGTCTGAAGCAGATCCTTGCCCAGACCCTTCATCAACATATCAGCAGTGGTGTTCCCGCCCCCATCTCAGCCACTCATACCGGTATGCTTCACTGGTCACTACGCGCTATGGATGCAGCCGCACAACGCCACTGCTTCCACACTGCCTTTGCAGCTTTCAATTTCTACCGAGCTCAAACCTTGCCACAAAAACAATAAGGGCTTCGCACGCCAGCAAGAATCAGAATATCCTCGTAGACTTTGGAGGCATAATAACCTCCAACTCCCTAAAACCCCCGAAACCCCTCCCCCTCTACCCTTCCCCCTTCCCCTCTCCCTCTCCTCTCCAACCCTCCACCCCAGATTCCCCATCCTACAACAGCATTATCATTATCATCCATGGTAAACACTGGCACACGGTAGCGGGCTTGTTCTAGGTTGGGGGTAGGTTGGGATAGCGTAGATAGGGGGGATCTTGGGGAATCTTGGGGGCAGGGGATGTTGACTGTGACTGTGACTGTAACCCCGCCTGTGGTTATGGGTATGACTAGTATTTAATGTTTATATCCACATCCCCATCCACATCCCCATCCACATCCCCATCCACATCCCCATCCACATCCCCATCCACATCCACACAAACCCAGCACCACCACCACCACCCACAACCCCAAACCCACTATCACACCCAATTCCAATTTTTTTTTTGCAAATATGCTTCATTCTCATCTACAGCTATCCCATACTCCCATCATACCAGCGTCCTAGCCATACCGCTCCAAACCCTCCATCCCCCAACCTCAATCACTCAAAAGCCCCCATCAGTCATGAACCCAGCCCCCACCGCATCCATCCATTCCCCCCAACCAAATAAAACCAAAACAAAGGGAAAGCAAAGGGAAAGGAAAACGCCATACCATGCAATATGCCATGCAACCCAGCCAACCGCAGCCCCAAAAACAGCACAAACTCCCACGCCCCTCAAAGTAAACCCACTCCCCCATCTTCCCCCCTCAAGAGCAAATCCCAACCCCAACCCAAACCCCAATCCAACACACCAAACGCCCCCGAAAGACCCTCCCACATCAAAGTCTTATGAAACAAACGAAATGTAGGAAGACAGACAAAGAAAAAGACTAGAAAGGAAAGGAAAAAGGAAAAGCAATGACGCTGGAGAAAAAACCATAGACTCCCACAAAACCCCGCCCCCCTTTGCTCCCCCGCAAACAAAATAAAAGAAAAAATCAACATAGCTAAAAGTCAAGCTCAGACCTTAAACCACCCCCTCAGTCCCTAGTGAAAAGACGGTGTCACAATGAGCATCACATCCACATCCACAAGACTTCAACAAACCCTCACACCCCACTCCACCCTCTGCGTCTGCGAACCTGCATAACATAGCCATCCCCGCCATCCCCGCCATCCCCCCCCTGATCTGCCTCTGGCCATACTCCACCGTCGCAAGCGGGACTAGACTGCTAATCCAGCGCGCCCGCGGCACCTGACCCAGCCGTGGTAGCAGAGGCAGAAGCAGCAGCAGCAGCAGCAGCGCCCCTACGAGCAGCAGACGAGCTCATCTCCCCACCACTAGTCTCGCGCCTGCGCCTCACAATCTGCAGCCGGGGCAAGGGCGCACTAGCCGGGCTACCGGTACTACTGGTAGCCATGTTGGCGGCGGCGGCAGAGGACGACGAGGTACTATTTGGCGTTTGGTTCTCGGCGATATTCACATTACTTTGGCGACGTCGGTTGACGGCGTCAGTGAGGCGGCCTTGACGCGCCTTGGGAAGTCTACTCCCGCTCTTTTGGTTGTTGGCTTCGATGCGGGCGAGACTGGTTACGGCGTCGCGGCTGGCGGGGCGCGAACTACTGGGGCGTTGCTGCTGGGTGCGGTTCACGGTTGGGGTGGTGGTCTGGAGGGCGGCAAAGGAGGTCGAGCTACGGGCGAGGATCGGTGGTTTGTTGCGGTTTGAACTGGCCGAGCTGGGGGTTGCGTTTGGGTCTTCGGCGAGATCCCACATGGCGGCTGAGGACTGGGAGCGCGTTATGCGCTCACGGGTTGTTGGTGTCGCGTTTAGGGGGGGAAGCATGAAGCCGCTCTTGATGGATGTCGGCGTCGGAGGCGTGAGTCCCATGCCACTACCCACCAATGTACTGCCGCTGCTGGAACCCGAACCATCGCGGCGGCCGGATGAGGAGGCGGGGCGGCGGAGGTTCAGCCCGATACCAGAGGCGCGGGAGAGGCTGCGTTTTCCGGTGAGGTTCTTTGGAACACCACCAGATACTTCAACCTCATCGCATGCACGCACAAGCTCCTCGGCCATTTGCCGGACCAAGACTGCGGAATCATGGTCTACGAGCCAAGCAATGCGCTCGTAGCAGCCGAAAGCGCGAATGAGCCAACATCCTTCGTCTTTGGCGTCGCAGATTGTGCGAAGGATACGGAGTAGGTTGAGACGGGTGACTGCGTCCTTGTGGCCGAGCTTTTGCTCGGTGCGGCTAAAGATTTCGGGAGAGGCCAGGGAGGCGGCAATGGATGGTGACAGGCGGACGAGCTTCTGGAGGGGCTCGAGCATATTTTCAAAGGTCGAATGGGCGAGGTCCACGGATGTGTAGGCGGAAATTATGGCAGGGGTGAAGGAAGACTGGGAAGAGAGGAGGTATTGCTCTACACGCGCGGTCTCTTCTTGGAGCCTGTGGTGATGGTCAGCATACTCTAGTCCAAGCTTCTTCTCGTGTGTACATACCATACGAATATTGCATCCAAAGCCGTGACCGCCCAATTACGATCGCCCAGAAGAGATACGTAGAACGCAAGACCTTTTGCATCCCACAACATCTTGCGCGCCACCTTTCCAGAGTTGACCATCTCCAGCAATACAGGCAGCGCAAACTCCTTTAGTGGACCACCTTCACGTACAACATCCTTCAGTAGAGGAATAATGTCCGACAACGCAGCCTCTTCCTGTCGACTCTTATTATGACGACACAGGTTGTACATGGTGTTGAGGATCTGATTAGAGATCTCGCGGTGAAATGGCGGTAACCTGGTCGGGTCAGATGCAGACCGATGCTGACTGCGCGTAAAGGCGTCCTTGTGTCGCGTTGATTTGAGCAGTTCAATTAGGATGTCAATGGCGTTGGAGTTCTGCAATGCTTCGTGTGTTGAAGAGAGAGAGCTGAGGTTCTTGATGAACTTGAGCATAGTGATTTGATGGGGCGGCGCCATCTTGCGAAGGTCCTTGAGGACGCCTGTACGCGATTAGTTCAATCCTGTTGCAATAAAAGAGAAAACTGCCGAGATGTGAATAGAACTTACGTTTGAGAATCATACGGTCCGCCACAAGATCCTTCACATGGCTTTCCGCCTGCGAAAAGATTAAGAAAATATGTACGATCCTCCCCACTATCAGTCGTGCCACCTCGCCATCCTCTTCCACCATTCTGTTCAAAACCAGCGACAGAGGATACAAGACACTGCTTCTCGAGAAGATGCGGCAAAAGTCGTTCTTGGGCGTGGGCCCTTGCAATTCAAAGACGCCATAGACGCCATTGACACCAATGAGCACAAGATCGCGTTCCGCGTCAATGTCCTCTTCCAGAAATTCGACCAGGACGTTGATACCGCCGCAACCAATGAACATCTGCAGAGTCAAGGTGCTCGTTTGATACATTTGTCGCACAAACGCAGCGGCTTCTTTGCGGATCTCGCTGGGATACTTTTTGTAGGCAAAGTGGCAAATGGTGGGAATACCACCGAGAAAAGACAAGCTCTCCTGCGCTTCTGCATCTTCCAAGATGATCAAGTTGATGATTTTCAAGAGGGGCAAAACGACTTCGTTGTGTGGCACCGTGCCCAGAATCTCCAGTATAGGTAGCATGCCATGGCTGCGAAGTATAATGGATCGCTTATCAGGAGACTCGCCGAGGACTTGCAGAAGTTGATCTGCGATATCGAGCAGTTCATCATCCGGCTGACTTGTCTTCAGACAGCCGACCAAGCTCTCCGTCATTTTCGTTAATCTGTCATCGCGGTCCCGAGCAACATTGTTCTCCAAATTTAGATTATCCAAGCTTTCATCCAGGTTGGCAAATGGATCCAGATCTTCGTCATCTGTAATGTTGAAGGAATTCGCCATCTTGGACGTAATCATAGCATGGCCACTGTACTCGCTTCCACTGTCGCTCTCGGCATGACTCGTATTAGTTTTCGGATGGCCCTTGATGTCGCCAAACACATCTGAGAAGTCATCACCTTCATCTTCTGCATATTTTTGTATCTCAATTTCTGACTGTGTCCGTTGCAATCTGCGAGTAGAAGTCCCACTTGATGATCGTTGCCGAGCATGTTCACTGGACTTTGGATCCCACGTGGATTTGGGGCCAGCCTTGAGATCGCTTGGGTGAAACAGGCGAGGGGAAAAAGATTCTACAGGCGAGCTTGAATTTGGCATCAAGATGTGCTTTGGCAGCATTGTGGGTGGCTGTGCGTATTGCATTGCTGCTAGCTTCTTCGCAAATGCGCCTTCATCGGCGGGCAGCAAATCTGAGTAGTCCTCAACCGAGTCTTCGCGGAATAGTTGGCTACGGGATAATGCTGATGTCTTTGTCCGTGGAAGCTGTGTAGGCTTGGGTGCACTACGTAGGATGGCTGTCTTGGGTTGGCCGTCATGTCGATCCTCAGTTGATGTCGATCTCGATTGAGGAGTAGATATCATTGATTTGCCATTGGCGCCTCTGGCTCGTTCTGCAGCTTTTTGTCCAGAGACCTTGGGGAAGCTTGAGTATTGATGCGCGTTCAGTGGGCTTTTCACCGTGGCTTCACCGTCGTCACCGTAATCCCCCAGCTCCGTGACGGCCTCGAAGCTAGCGAAGGCCTTGAGCCTATCGCCCGAGAAGAGTCCACCAAAGTTATCTTGGGGTTTCAGATGGGGCATCTGGAGGGCTCGCGGCGATATGCTTTCGGCAAAGTCGTCATCCCAGTTGTCGTCGTGGTCTAGCTCCGGAGAGCGAAAGGACTCGGCTGTGGGTCTATGCTTGGACATCTTGAGGTTTACATTCACCTGTGCTTTGCGGTTCACAACTGGCGTGCCATTTGCAGGCGCGGGAGAGGCCTTGGCTCCGCCCGGTGTCGTTCTCGAGCTCCGGCGCAGTGAGCTGGGGGATTTGAGAGCCTCGTTCCATTCTTGTACCGACTTGACAGCTTCCTGGTATTCGGTAGGCTTGGTGGGTACTGCGGGTACGGTGCGCTTGGCACTGAGGATCCATGGGTGTTTCAGCAGCCGTTTGGCGGATATGCGGAGGGTGGGGTTCTTTTGGAAGCACTCCATGAGAAATTCGCGCAGCAACTGGCATTCATACGTTAGTCACGATGATGCGGTGAAGTCATCCAAGAAAAGGCCAGAATACTCACCGGAGAGGCACTACCAGGTATTGGCGGGTGCTCATCGTTGACGATTCGGAAGAGAGCCTGCATGGGCTGCAGCTTGTGGTATGGTGGCTTCCCCTCAATCAACTCGATGACTGTACAGCCCAAACTCCATATGTCTGACGACGTAGTGGCACCAGAGAGCTCAATGACCTCTGGAGCCATCCAATACGGCGTGCCTACAACGCTTGATTGGTCGAGACCCGACTGCTTGGTCGCCACACCAAAGTCGGCCAACTTGACCAGGCCCTCCTTGGTTGTCAAAATGTTGGCACCCTTGATATCCCTGTGTATGACACCCTGCTCGTGGAGGTAGAGAAGTCCATGGAGGACCTGGGACATGTAGAGCGCGACGAGGTTTTCCGGAAACTTGCCAAAGTTTTTGCAGATGCTGTGCAACGAGCCGTTTTCGCAATACCTGAGAAAAAAAGTCAGCCCCTTGCTTCTCTGCAGACATGACCACTACCACCGCAGTGCAGAGCCGTTTGTGGAGACAGGTAAATGATTCCGGGTAAATAGTGCGCAAGGCATACTCAAGGATAATGTAGAGGCTCTCCGAGCTGCGGACAAAGCCGTTGTACTTGACAATATTGGGATGGTTCAGGTTCTTGAGCAGGTCGATTTCCATCTCCATGTTCTTGAGGTCGGCCGCACCCAGATTTTCCAGGCGGACCTGCTTGATGGCCACCGTCTCGCCAGTGCCCCAATTGAGCGCCCTGTAGACGCTGCCAAAGGCGCCTTTGCCCAGACAGTCGCCCAGCTGGAAGTCCTTGAGGCCGGCGACATCTTGGGCAGCCCGCTGCGCTGCGCCCTCTCTGCTCGGCCGCTGTTCTCGCTCGCGGGGCTGCTGGCCATTGGTGTTGTTTGACGAGGCGGACACCAACGCCAACGCCGACGCCGACGACTTCTTCAGATGGCCTGGTGTGTTGAAGGCAGAGGACGAGGACGAGGGTCTGGCTTGGGCTTGGGACGAGCGCGAGTTGGAGGCCGAGTGGGAGGATTTGGGCGGGTGAGAGACCATGATGGCGGCGAGTGGGGGTGTTGGCGGCCGCCTGTTGGCCGGGAATGGTGATGAGACGGGTCCAGCAGTGGCTGTATAGGCTTGGGAGACAGAGTAGGTAGGGGCGTCTTGTGTTGTGAAATCAGCTGCAGGCCGTGTGCATGTGTGCACGGCGGCCTGTGACGTCGGTGAGTGGCGGCGGCGGCTGTGGAGGCAGTAGCAGCAGCAACAGCAACAGCAACAACAGCAAGGGCGCGGAGAGGATGCGCAGCGGGTGTTTGCGCTGTGCGGTGTGCATGTCCCCGGTGGGTGCGCGGGCGTCGAGGGCTTCCAAGGACGGGATGTCAATGCCCGTCAATGGCGGCGGGGGGGGGGGCGACAGCAGCAGCAGCAGCAGCAGCAGCAGCAGTTGGCCGTGTTGGGTGGGGGTTGGGCAGGCAGGTCGAGCGGTACAAAGAGCTTAATGATGGTGTTGCGGCTGTCCCATCCATGCGCCCGTCATCAGTCGTACGGTAGGGCTGCGCTTGTGGGCTGGGTTAGGTACACAGTAGTACTCTAGGCTCCCCCTCTCATGCCCTGACCGCAAGATGAATGGCGAATTGATAAATCGTCGACAAGAACAAGAGCAATCCTGGTCGTGAAACAGGCCTGGAATGTGCCCGTCAAAGGTCCACTCAGTCAAGACTGGCGAACGGCGGCTGGGTAGGTACTCCTAAGTATGTACAAGAGACTAACTGCCTAGGAGTACTGGCCCAAGGAACCACCAGTACCTAACCGGTACCTAGCAGGCAGTAGCTTGACAGTGCAGGATCGCCCTCAGATCAGTACTCCTACAGTGCCTCCTCTGTACCTACCTGCCTGCCTGCCTATCTATAATACCTGCAAGTGTGCCTCCATCCCCAAAATCTGGCTTTCTTCTGCTTGTCATCCATGTGTGCAGGATGGGGCAATGAAGGAGAGGTTCTTGGTCTGGTCTGGGGTGAAAGGGCGCATGGGCTTGTGTGACCTGAGATGGTGTTACATACCGGTACCTACCCAGCTACTCGACATCGCAGTAGCTTCCCACGCCAACAGCCGTTGCAACTTGCAAGCCTCCACCAGTCCACCGACCTACCGACTCGTCGCTCGCTTCTTCTGCCTCTTGCTAGCCCGTCTCATCGTCGTCGTTGTCGTCTGCCAACCAAAAAAAAAACCGAGCTTGAGAACAGTAAAGTGCAAAGCCTCCAAATGGCCCTCCGAGGGATGCACGTCTTCCAGGAACCGGACGCGTCTCCCGACCGGCTACCCAGACTTACTTTCGCCATTCCCAAACACAAAGAAAGCTGGGAGGACTGGCGGCCACGGCTCGGCGCTATGGAGGTCTGGTACGGTCCACACGCGGATACACGCTTTCACGTGCACTAGCTCCAGGTACTTTTTCCAGGGGGCTACTTTGCATAGCATAGCCTTGGAACGGCGCCTCTCATCCCACTTGTCTCAGCCTTGGAAGAGGCTCGAGGGCTATTCGTGAGCATCCAGCACCAGCCGCCAAACTCACATCCGCTGCATCTCGACGAATCAATCCATGGCGACAGAGCGGGCAATGGCCTCCTTCCAAGGGAGTCTTTACCCCACGTACGCTGCACCAAAAGAATCATCAGAACATGGAGAGTGGTAGGCATGGACCATCAGTAGTGACCAGTATCAGTAGGACGCACGCTACATCTACCATACATCATCGCAGCGCTTCCCGAATACTCGTCTGACTCTCAGAAAGTCCTAGGCCACTTCTGTATCAAGTAGCAAGCCCCTAGGAACTGACAACATTGAGCACACCCCCGTCCACAGCAATGATCTGGCCATTGACATAGCTATTCTTCGTCAAGAACAGTACCGCTTGCGCCATCTCCTCGTCACTGCCCGCTCGCTCCATGGGCACATGACCCTTCTCCTGAATCTTCTCATTCGGCAGCTCGCTCTTCTGGTCCTCGTCGCTCTCCTTGGCCGTCATCTCAGAAGGAAAGTAGCCTGGCGCAATCGAGTTGACGCGAATGCGGAGCTTCTGGAACTCGCCAGACATGAGCTTGGTCAAGTGCACCGTTCCACCCTTGGCAGCATTGTAGCTAAAGTGGCCCTGGGCATCCTTCATGATGCCCGACATGGAGCTGATGACGATGACCGAGGCCGAGAGGTGGCCGTGTGACTCGGTGCCTGCTTGTAGAAGCGGTAGGAGGACAACGGTGGTGAAGTAGACGGCTGTAACGTCGGTATTGTAAGTCTCGTTCCAGCCCTCAAACGTCTCGTTGTCCCAGAGCTTGGCTTTCATGTCCGTGGCTTTCTTCGAGACCGGTTCGGCCTTCTCTCCTGAGATGCCAGCTGAGGCAATCAAGAGATTGATGTACTTTTCCTTCTTGGACAGCTCCTCGTACATGCGCTCTAGGTCTGCTTTCTTGGTGACATCATACGGCCCAAGTCTGCCGAACATCAGTACTCTCGACCGCAGAACAGCGAAACTGTCATATTCCTACGGGATGATCTGGCCACCCTGATCAGGGCTGTGCGTCTTGGCTGCATTCTCAAGAACCTCTTGTCGTCGTCCAGTGATGTATACCTTGGCACCGTTTGCTGCGAGTGCTTGTGCCGCCATCAATCCAATTCCACTACCGCCTGAACATGAAGCATATCAGTATAAATTGCTGTTTGACGTTTCTCATGGCAAATTACCTCCAGTAACCACACAAACATAGTCCTTTACCGAGAAGAGCTTCTCCACCCGAAGGTCACTGGTGTTGGCTTTGGAAGGCATGTTGTAGTTGTGGGTGGATGTTGCTTGCCAGTGTGAGCCGACACAGGTCAGATTGTTTGTAAAGGAAGGTTGAATTGTTCGAGCCCGGCGGGTGCTGTGAATGTATATTACCCACCCCTCCTGCTCCATGGCGTAGCAAAGAATTCACTTCAAGGCAGTGACGTACCGTGTAATACCCACATTGGTCTTAGCCTAGTACGGTTTAGGGGTCAGTGCTTCCTGCCTATTCAGGAGTGTCAGTTCTCGGCTAGCGCCAGCGCTTCGCTTCTCCGATCAGAACCATCATCCACCTCTCTCTCTCTCTCTCACTTGGTCACGTCTGTTCATTTCATGGATTGCGGCTCTCTTCTTTACTGTGTCTTGGGGCTAGCGGCGTAAGCACAGGTTTTCACTTGATTTTTCTCGATCATCCTTCACTGAGTATTTTTTTTTTGTTTCAAACTTTACTTTCTCTCCAAGATTCTTCCCCAAAACATCACAACGACTTGAGACATGGCCGAGGCACTACCTTCTACTGCCTTGGTTACCTCGGGCGACGTTGTGCCAGTCAAAGCCCCATCGCTATGGTCTGAACCTTTGGATACCACAGGTCTGATCCCACACAATTTCAAGCGAGCAGCAAGAAATCAGTTTCCCATCCTCGAAATTCTCCAACGTTTGCTGTATCGTATCAAGCCGAGCAGCGATGATCTTGAGAAGTTGCTAGCCTTGATTGGTCTTATCCAGGCAGTCAGACCAGTCTACGGCTACATGAAAGATCTGTTGGCTTGGCTTCTCACTGTACAAATAACGATTCCGGAGATGGATCCCGTTGCGAAAGATGTATTGGCCTGGGTGGGTTCAGAAGTGATAATGAACAGTCGTACCCGAAGCGCAATGCTGGTGACAGGAGGTAGTCATGATCCTAATGATGATTTTCATAAACGGATGGTAGGTCTTTTAACCCTGTCTAGATTACTAACACTGCTGCACCCGTGGAAGCAAGTTCATTCTCGTTTACTGTGACCTTGTGCTGACAGACTGAGATGCTACAGATGATGGCCCGTAATCAGAACCAAACAAATCGTAGAAAGGGCAGTGATGAAGTTCTCTGCCTTCCGTATGTTATGAACTCCATGACACGTTTCTCTCAGTATACTTACATCTTCTAGACCCATCGGGACGAAACTTTTCTGGTAAGCAATAAATGCCTGGATCTGAACCTGATGTGACCCAATACGGGCTACTCTCAGTTCAGCATTACAACCTGCTCGATATCCATGCTAACGCCTCTAGGATTGGTTATCGCCCGTTCCTATTCTCACGACGAGGCGCACCGAACTCTCGGAATTCCATCAGTAATGTCGTCGACGGCAACGGAAACCTTCAGAACTCGCTCACTATCATGACACTGGGATGGAGTTTAAAGCCGCTCCAAGATTTTACGAGCGCCTGTCGCGCCTTTCGGCTTCGGAATATGACTGGCATAACTACTGTTTACTTTGCTGGTGGCAATAAATACGACTCCTACGGGCAGGGTTGGGAATCAGTGTCCAAGGCTATCCGAAAACTCGACACCATCGATATGGATCAAGAAATCAAGAATGATATTATTAGAGATGCGGAGTACTACTACAGCGACCAATCGTGAGTCATCTATCCTGGTCAAAGTGCGAAAATGGCGATTATTCTTCCAGCTTCTCACGTCAGCTGCAGAGAAGGCGAAAGCTTGCTGACATCCGAGTAGGCGACAGTTCTTTGCAGATTGTGGAATTCCCTACCGCCGCGGCTATCTTTTCTATGGGCCGCCTGGTACTGGCAAGAGCTCTTTTTCTGCTGCTTTGGCAGGCCATCTCGGTTGTGACATTTATCATATTAATTTATCTACCGGTGACATCAGTGATGGCTGTACGTTGTTCCGCCAGCTTGATGATTGTTTGGATTGCTGACACAAGTCTCCCAGGTCTCCACCGTCTCTTCCTCGGTCTTCCTCGCAAATGCATCGTTGTGATTGAAGACATCGACTCCGCAGGCATTGGTCGTGAGCAAGGCCCATCTTCAAAAATAGCTTCACCGTTTCAGGAGCTGCCCAGAGACATGCAGCCACGGAATCGGGCTATGAACTTACCCGATGTTCCTGAGGGGCGCAGAGGCCGCCGAAGCATGGTAACGTTAAGCGGACTGCTGAACGCCATCGATGGCAATGCATCGCAAGAGGGCAAGTCGAACATTTTCTTCTCGAGCGAGTGTCTACTGACATGTAGAATTCAGGCCGCCTCTTAATCATGACCTCAAATAACCCTGATGCGCTCGACGCCGCGCTCACACGCCCTGGCCGTATCGACAAGAAGATATACTTTGGTAACATGTCAAGATCATGCGGCCGCAGTATCTTCAAGCGCCTGATTGGCCGCTCCGCGCTTGCACACGGTTCCACTTTTACCATGGCACAAATTGACCAATACGCCGACGAGTTTGCAGACAAAGTTCCTCCAAACACATGTACGTGGTTCGGCTACTCGGATACTCAAATCTTGCCCCTTCTCTTTCCGTAGTAACCTAGCTCATGTGTCACTAACCCGTCTCTCAGTCTCCCCAGCCCAAGTTCAAAACTTCCTGCAAGGCTGCCGTGGCGATCCTATCAAGGCCCTAGCTGAAATTGACGCCTGGATACAAAAAAATGGCGAAGGCCCAGCTCCCAAGGAGCCCGGCGCGAAAGCAGCTAGCCAATCTTCAGACTCGATCATTCTAGATCTACTAGACGCCCTCGACTCTGGCACTAAGGATGCAATGCCGACTATTCCCTTGATTGACGGAAAAGCCTGACGTGAATGAGATGAACTTCTTGCGCCGCTTCGTACAGCCATGTAAAAGAAAGACGGGCGTTGCGGTTTGGGTATTAGGGCAGGGAACTGGAAGAGGTTGCATGTGAATATTTTACGAGGAGCGGATTAGACGGTATTTTAATGGTTATTCTTCATTGATGGAAAGAGAGCTGCACCTCATCCTGGCTATGGCTTAATATCATCACCGACCTGTACCTCTGTGTTGGAATAACGGGTTCTTGCCATGGAATATGTGTCTCATTGTACGCATTACTGTGCTTGGCGACTCACGCCCATGTCTGTCATTCTCATGCTCAGGCTTTTTTAAATGTTAATTGAGATACACATCACCTCGATCACACTGGAATTGGAATTGCGATGGGATCGCATGCCTGGAATTGAGTTACTCTACATACACAATGACATGACTCATCATACCACGCTTGTATTTTTCCTAGAATCATATTTTGCCTCTCTCTTCTTCTCCCTCCTTATCCAGCTCCCCAGCATACCCGCCCTTCCCCATTCTCCCTGCATCCCATACCCCAACCAACTCCAACCTACATCTCATTCGAATTCCGCAGCAGCACCACGGATACCAAAATATCTAAAATATCCAACTCCGCGTGCCACTCTGCCGAGGAAAGTCTAGTAAGCTTGGCGATTGGGAGTTTGAGGTTATGTGGGAGTGGTGGGAGGTGGGAGGTGGGAGGTGAGTGGCAAGGCTGAGTTCTTGGTTCTTGGGCTAGAGGTCTGCGTTTTTGGGTAGGTGGATTATAATTAAAAGTTATATTGGTTGGTTTAGGTAAGGACTATTTTGTGAATGATTGTGAGTTGGTTTCTAGGCTTCACATCGGTTATGTGCAGGTTTGAGTGTTGCTTGTGCTTTTGCGTGCGGCAGGAGAGAATGATGTTGTGGACGGCGGAATGCTCGTGGTAAACTTGCCTGAGGAAGAACAGTGTTCAATGCTAGTTTGCAGGAGATGTATCTTTTTGTGATAAAAATTTAAAGTACTGGATACTTTCTTTATTCGAGTTTACCCATAAAACTCGCTCTGTCATGTCCAAACGTAATTTTTCTCATTCTCTCACCCTTTAAAGGATTGAAACAGAATGGAGCGTATGGGCGGGGGCGG